ATATAGGTAAACTGCTTACAACAGTGCTGGTACATTGCATGCTATTAGTATTAGCAAAAACCTAATAGATACGAGACTTCTTGGATTGCTCTCTTATCCTTTTACTTATTTACTGTTTTTTTGTCCTTCTGCCCTGCCTTTCTGGGAGACCTTATTGAATTTATCCTCCAAACCTTTATACTAAAGTTTTAATTCAGAAAATCATCTTTTTAATTTTCAATAGCTGTTTCATATTCTCTCATTGTTCCTCTCTCATGGCATCCTATTCTTTTTAGTTGCCATGTACTTTTGAATTCTTCTGAGGATATTACTTAGAATCTTTTTTAAGTACTCTTTTATCCTATTACATGTTATCCTATTCATGTGTCATTAACAAACTGTTACAGCTATTTTAGCTTTATGATACATGTTAATAGCAGTTCTCCTCTTAAGAGCTTCTTTTTCATATTTTTTCCTGATAATTCTCAAATATGTTTTTATATTATTAAATCTAAAACATTAAATATGAAGTTAATTTTTACAAATGAAATACTTCATATATAAACAGCTCAATATAAACTATATCTATGAATACTTATAAATATCAGTAATTAAATAATACTTCTATACCCACCACCTAGATTAATCACCAATACTTTAAGAGCCAATATAATACCTTCCCTTATCACACCCTTCTGCCTCTTCTACAAAGGTAAAAACCTTCTACCCTGAGACGTGTGTTTTTCATCCCCTTGCATTTCGTTCTTACCACAAATTAATATCATCTTAAACAATATATTGTTTAGTTTTACTGGTTTTTGTCTATATTCTTTTGAAACTTGCTTTTTCATCAAACTGGTAAGTCTAAGTATAGTTCATTTACTCTCAATACTGTATAGTATTCCATTTATGAATATTGCACTTTATTCACTCTCCTGTCAGTGTCCTTTTGTATTATTTTAAGTTTTTCTTAACATAAACAATATTGCTATGAACACATGCAGTTATGTCTTCTGGTACACATATCCAAGAGATTCTAGGAGATATGTCTAGCAGTTGAATTAAGTGATTTTTGACAATGGATAAATACCTTCTGTTCCAGGGTAAGCTGATATTTTTGTTTAACTCTCTTACACTTGTTGAACCAACTGTTCTCATCCATGATGAAGGGAGGGCCGACACTCTCTGGAGTGCTGCTTTCACTGCTACTGCTTCCCAAAGTCCTTAGCTCCTCTTCATCGCTGCTGATGCTGTCAGAACTGGGAATATCAAATTTTTTAAAAGAAATAAAGTTAATAATATGTTCAGATTTGATTCTTAAACACTTCTGTATTTGCAAACTACTGCTGAACAAACTCCAAAATATTTAGCACTAAATATAGGATAATAATAATGATATTATAAAGACTTTAGCTCCTGAAATAAATGTCAAGCTAGCAGGGGCTGCTGACTCTCTCTCTCACAAAACCATGCCTAGAGATGCTACAGAAGTTCAAGTGAGTTTGCAAATCTAAGGAATTAACACTAAAACTGTGAGAATGTCCAGAAGAGAGAGAACAGATTCCCAGAGAAGAAAACCAGAAACTCTAGACATGCTGAGAAGAACTAGCTAGATTCTTTTCATTGTGCTAGGTAGATCACCATCTGTCTAATCCCCACTACAAGGCAGAGAAACAGCTTTACCAGCTAATGCCAGTGGGGTATAACACAGGGTAACATTCAAGGTCAGCTCAGCTTTGGCAAGAAGATAACAACAGGTTCAAAGGAACCAGCCACTCCTAAGCATCTCCTACTGGAGGAAGAAGAAGAGGCAGAGGTAAAGAAGAGAGAATATCCATCGTAATCCATATCTAAAATTCCTCATGACATGGGTATGGCAGAGGAGTAAAGAAATAAGGTGAAAAAAAATGGGAGAGGAAAAACTAAATGGAGAGAAAAGCATGCTAAGATGACTGCTTTAGAAGATGTGAAGATGACCAATTTA